TGCAACTTACGAAAATGTAGAGTTTGCCGAAAATGGGACTTATGCCATTTTTAATAGCGTACATTACTTACTAAAGAAAAATTAAACAAAATGTTGCGACCGTAGAAAATTGTTTTTAAAATTACCTTATTTCATCAAAATTGCGCGAAATCTGTTCATACTTTTTGAAGGTTTTTACAAGACCTTATTTATCTAATTCTAAAGAATACAGTTCACAAAGAAAACTAGTGGTTATACGACAGCGCATACTTTCTCGTGTTATTTGTAATGGCAACGCAATTATATACTACAACGCAGACCTGCAAAAGTTTTTCTAGACTAGAACTCACGTCCATCGAATTGGCCAAACTCGCCACACGCTTTGCTCCTACACTACACATTCACTCACCTGTACACACTTTTGCTGTCGCTTAAAAAACTAATTGTCACTCCCTTTATTTCCAACAAGCAATTTTCGAGCATTTAGAGTGTTTAGACCATTTTTGAAGAGTTTTCTTCTCTATCCATGCAAAAAAAGTTGCAGAAAACATTTAAAGCCATTTATGAGAAAATGCTTCTTTTACAAATTTAAATAAAACATAATTCAAAATGGAGCCATTTAAAAAAGTGTAGATTATTGTAATATACTCTCAAAAATTAAGATATCCTTTTCAAATTCATAGGGCCTCGAGTTATGTGAAATATATCGGGGAATATCAGTTCTGGACAACAGACAGAGAGACGCTTTGCAGTCAAGCAATTTTCCGTTTTCAAGGACGAAAAATCGTGGATTCTGTATACTCAATGTTTCAGATGAAGAACAAGGGTAAGTCAATAGGTATCTGCATTTGATGTTTATAATTGATTCCAACAACAGTTTACAATCAGATCTTTTTCCAATTTAGGCACAATGCTTTTCAATGTAAGTACTTGGTTCATTTTAGCACCAATTTTCCGATGGGCTCAGAAAAAAAAAACATTTTAATTGAACAGCAAGCCTCACAAGTAAGTCGAAAGTAAATCGTCTCTGTCTTAAAGCACTTTTAAGTGTATAAAACGTAAACGTATGGTAATTAAGCGTAACAAGCTCGAAATGAATTCGGAATGTTGTGACTCCTGGATTTACAGATTTTGAAGGACGGCGGATAAGTAGTGTATTACAATTGAAGAATGTATTTGAACAATACACCTCGGTATTCTAATATGAACCAGACTAACGTCCATGGGGTTTGTCAAATAATCAATTGTTACACATCGATTATTACTGGGAGAGGTGGCTCAGAGTATCAACTGATGTCACTAGATTGCCTCTGACCGAGAGATTAGATTACCTCTGACCGAGAGATTAGATTACCTTTCGAGACCGAGAGATTAGATTACCTCTGACCGAGAGATTAGATTACCTCTGACCGAGAGAATCCTAGATTCGATTCCCGATGGTAGGATTTCCGACACTAGCTTGTCAGCTATGTCGAATTCAGGCGCTGTCTGGAGGAGAATACTAGCAGTCGGCTGCTCTGATCGGTAGTTTTCCGTCGTTTCTCCGATCAACATTAGGCGAATGTCGGAGCAGTACCCTACCAGCGGGCCACGGACCGCGCGCGATCTTTCCTATCTCTTCCTTGTCCTATCCTCTCCCCTTACTTTCTCAGACTTACACTAACATGCACCTCACAACCCCACATGCAGGGAGACCGGTTGGAGCGGTGCCCCGCTGGTGGGAGAGAAATTGTTGGCGAAAACCCCGCTAGCCGCCAGTAGGTCGGAGCCGGATCTCGCCGAATATCACCGCCAAAACTCCCGAGGACACTTACGGGTCTAACGACCTTAGCGGTTGACGCACCCGGAACCTTAAAAATCGGAAAACTTAGAACCAGGGGATGAACGTCTTCCTCTTTTCTCGTTTAACTGCTTTAGAATGGTCCAATCCACAGGTAAACTCTCGTCCAGGAAATATGTACACCCACACTGTGCTGATAGTCTTCTAAAAATTTCGATTTTTGGAGGATATTTAGATCAGAAAACTCTGAAACTTACCGTGAGCCAAGTGAATGATACCACCTTACGGCTGGTAAAAGCCAAACCACTTTGAGTCAACCTACAGACCGATAGTGTAGGTACTTGTTTCTAGGAAGCGGATTTTAATGAAAAGTCATTTTTTCTTTTCACTTTTATTATCGACATTAATTTTATGTTTTGACAAAAGCAAATATGGCTTTTTTGCCTTTTTCATCGATTTCTACTAATAAGACATTTTTACCTTTTTCTGTCATTTTAAAGCATTTTTCGCTCATTTAATTCTTTTTAATAGAATTTTAATGTTATTTGTAACAAATTATATTTACGTGATGCAACAAATGTTCTCCACAAAATTCCTGAGTAGCCAATTCGATTTCTTCGCTCAGAAATTGTAATGTCAACCTTTGTGGGTATGTTATACCAGATTCCTGTGATTCATTCAAGCCATTGTGAGTTCGGCTTATTCCGGGATAACTAAAGACAGAAATTTACTAGTTAACGGTCCAAACCAAAAGTTTGCGAGAAGAATTCACTTGAACGAAAGTAATAAGCCTCGATTACATCAGTAACATTCAACAGCTTTAGTTGTTCATGTGAACTGGCTTTGATCATTTTTTTACGTAATTTTTCTTTGCTTTTAGGGCATTTTTAAAACATTGTAAGGACTTTTATTGGTCATTTTTGGCTATGTTTTAAGTCATCAAAATCCGCCCCCTACTTATTACCCATCTAATTTGCTACAAATAAGACCAAGAATTACTCATTTCTTCAGTAACAGGGGCCTGTCAAGGTGGCTCAGGACATTACCTGATGTGACAGCAGTGCTTCCGAACGGACGATTCTAGGGTTCGAGCCCCGACGGGTCCACAGGATTTTCATCACTAGCTTGTCAGCTATGTCGTTATCAGCCGCTGTCTGGAGGAGCTCTCTAGCGACTGGCTGATCGGTAGTTTTCCGTGGCTTCTCCAATCAATACCAAGCAAATAGCGGGGCAGTACTCTAACAAATGGACCACGGCCCGCGTGCGATTTCTCCTTCATCTTTTTGTTTGTTCTCCCCCCCACACACACACACACTTACACCCACACTATATACACAACACTCCCACACATGTCAGCAGACCAGTCGGTCTTAAAACTTGTCCGCGCGGGGTGGTGACCCGCTGGTGGGAGATGCCGAGAAAAGGGAAATCCCCTCAAATCGACGTGTAGTTCCGCGCCGGATCGCGCCATCCAGCGGGGGAAGAATACCGCTACCTCCCGTAGTAAAAACACGCACTACACTTTGGGGATAATGACCAAAACCGAAATAATTTGTATAACCCTGTTTATAACTATTGTTGCTTTGATCGAGATAAATCTTTAATGAAAAAATATACTGCGTATATTTTTTAGTACGTTTCTCCGTATTTGCGTACGTGTAACGGAAAGTAAAACTTTGGAGCCATTTTTGAGAAATAAAAAAAATAATTATTGAAGCTTTGTGTAAAGTACCTACCTTCCAATATTAGCATATCCGTTTCAAATTTAAGGACCTGTAACATCAGCCAGATCGCTCGAGGAAATTAATTTTCGTGAAAATCCTACCTATGGTTTAGCCACTATTGTTCATAGATGGACTGAAAGGCGTTTCGCCACAAATCATTTTTTCGATAACAAGGATAAGCAACACGAGGACCGTGAATACCCAGTGTATTAGGGGAAGTAATGTGGTACATATCAGATTAAGATTCATGCAATTGTTCGATAACGGGGCCCTAATACGAGTATGTGCAGCATTACAATGCTTGTCTACATTACGTTTGTACTGTGCGCTTAAAAAATTGCGTCAATCTGGTTTCCGTTGAAATCTCTGAATATAATATTAATAACCACAATATTTATTATTAATATTGTGGTTTTTAGTATTATATTCAGATATTTCAATGGAAACCAGATCGTCGCAGTTATTTAAGCGCTCACTACTTACGTAATATAGACAAGCATTGTAATGCACTGCATTTTAAAAACATTTGAAGAGTATTTTATTGTTGATTTTTGACGATAATTTAGGTCATCAAAATCCGCCTCTTAGTAACTTCTCTACAAATCACAGAAAAATTAATTTTGAAGTTCCTGTAATTTTGAAAACGAATCGAAAATGATGAACGATGTTTCTTTCGTTTAGATTTTGAAGTATATATTTTTATGCATCTAAAATATAACTTTGAAACGGTATTTTAGCTTATATGAAAACAAAATATTTAGTATGTGATCGAATTTCAGAGGTGTCATATACTTGATATTATAATTAACGTTGTTGTTCAGAAAAGTGTTCGATATAACAAAAATAAACATTACTCAATAATAAACCAAACATTTATCTTGTTTGAATTCAAATTAATCAAAATAATATTCAAAGCACATTTCTTTGCTTCGGATGAAACCCAGGAATTTGAGAAATAATAAGCATCTGAATTCTCCGAAACAGTTCGGTAAACAAACAGAACTTCGATATATTTTTCTTCCTGAATGTTAGTGATGTGATTCAGTTGGTATCTGAGAAAAGACAATTTCAAAAAACGTTACGAATATTTACAGCTCGGAAATTTGATCCGCAAGGTGAAAATAATAAAAGTGTCTCAAAAGTCCACTTTTCACGTTATTTCTTATCTTTTAATATACGGCCTTATGATTGATAACATTTTATGTGATTTTTTATGACATTTGATATTATAGAACACATTAAGTACAAAGGAAAAACGATATCCAAAACACATGACTCAAACATAACATTCAACTGCAATTCGAATCTGGCACACTTCCTTTAACGCTTACCCGCGCTCTGGATGGTCCTGAGCCCTGGTGTTGAAATTGGACACTAATTCAAGTCGTCAAGCTGTGGCTTCTCTTTTCGGTGATCGATGAAATCGTTACTTTTATTTTCATGTTGTGCAAGAGACGCTTTCACCTATCTTGTGAGAAAAACAATCATTCTTTATATTGGATTATTTTCCGTCGAAGATGTCAAACGCATCTCCGATTTTGAATGGTGAAAACACAGGTGGAGTTGGTGAATTTGGGACTGACGCTTCCGTCAACATGGTAGCCGCTATCCATGATCACATTTCTTGTGCCAAGCCAGTGCCAATGGACTCATTTAATTCTCAAGATTCGAAGGCTGGTATTATGACATATTCGTGCGATTTTGATCATATGTATGCGAGTTTAACTGATGGTGGAACTTTACAGAAAGATAGTGCTGAAGTGAAAAAGTTGAAAGAACTGTTATTACTCCACTTGGACCTAATTCAGCAGCAGTCAGAGCAATTGATGACCAAGGATAAACAGCTGGCAGCACTGCGACAGGAAAATGAAACGGTATTTGTTGAATCGCTGATGCAATATGTTAAAAAATAATAATTTAAGTGGCTTATAGTGAACAATACATTCTTGAATACTTGATGGTTCTCCTTTTCACCACTAGGTAGCACCAGAATCGAGGCTACAAACAGGAAGTAGTCAAATAAATTATTATGTTTAAATAAATATTTTGGTTTGGCCAATTATAAGTGTATTTTTTTCCAAAGAAGGAATAATTTCACTTATTTTTTTAAGTTAATTAATAAAATTTTGTTAAAAGACTGACGTAAGGTTTGGTATGAGAGTAGAAATATAATTTTTGAGGTTATGTTTGTTCTCTTTTTCTTTGATGTTTTCAAGAATATCAGCATATAAGCTATTTTTATGTTGGTGACAAGAGCTTAAATGTATAGAAGAGTAATTTAATTTTAAAATTTTATTTTTTCCAGCTTAGACAAAGATTGGAGCGAATGGACAGGAGAGTTAATCTCCAAAAACATCGAGAAGGCGGGGACGTTATTGTTCCAACTTCTACACCTTGCACAAGTTCACCAATACCAGTGTCACCTTCATTCACTGCAGGGCCTGTTCTGCTTAGCACACTTTCTCCCGTTATTGAAACGGAGTCCGATACTATCACCATCCCTTTGGACAATCTTGATTCTAATTCTCACAACCCTTTGGCAGTAGTGCCAAATGACAATGTGTCAGAGTGTCAAAGCGTGACTTCTAATTCATGGGAAGTTGGTAAGCGAAGGAGAAGAGATGCTGATAGTGTGAGTGTGAGTGCATCTAGTGTTGGTGCCAGTGGCCATGGTGTGGGAGTGAGCAGAAGAAAGCGATTGACATCATGGACCTCATCAGTCAATAGTGATGTTGCTTCCCATGATGGTAGGACATCTCTGGGCAAAGACATTACGGAGAATAACAGAAGAACACCAAAGAGACTGAGAACTAAAGGTTAATATAGGTTCTAAGTGCAAATTTATTGACAAATTGTCAACAACTATGTATATTCATAATACTGTTCAGAAATGTATGCCCAGCAAGTATTTACTCAATTCTTAGAATGCGCATTTATTGTAATGGTACAGACTTTATACTTCTGTTATTTTATGTACTTCAGTATATGACTTATATTTAAGTTTTATTATTCTTTTCACAAATAGAATAATTGAAGTGTATCAGAAGCAACACTGGCCATACATAAACCAAATTATCTTTCCTTTTTGATTTTAATGTTTCTTGCCAAAATGCAGAATTGCTTTTGTTTAATCAGCTGTGTTACTGGGTAAAAAAATTAAATTTTCTAGATGACATAACAGGAGTATTATTTTAATAGGTATATGAACTTAAAGACAACTTGAATTCCATACTCTATTTAAGAAATGTCACCTTGATGAGGTAATATGCTTACTTTTCAGTTAATTCCTTTTTTGTGTAATGTTACATTATATTTTCTGTAGTCTTGTCCATATAAAATTAGAGAGGGTTAATTTGTTTCAAATTTATATTGATAATTTATAGCAAATATATATATATATATAAAAATAGGCGCCATTGACATTTGAATCCTGAAATCACAGAAAAGATATTCATAAAATAATCTAACAAGATTTCATGTTATCAAGATCATTCACAAGATAATAAAGAAATAACTAACATTGTTCACACAAATGTTCAGAAAATGGATAGTGAAGTAGAGGTACTGGAGTGATGTCATTGTTTAACAACTATTTATTTCTTTTTCTCCATTTCATTTTTGCCTTTTGCATTAAGTTGTGATATTTTTAGGTCTGTTTATGAGCTATATTTATTATTGGTTTTGAAAATAGTTTCAGATTATTATTCTATTGCTATTTATATGATAAAAATTAGCTTTTTGGGTAGATGTATGATTTACTAAATGTTGATTCAGACAATATTTAGAAGCTCAGCTAGTTGGGGTATTGTCAATATCTTCCCCCCATTGGTATAAATTCTTAACTTTTAACATCTCTTCTCAGACCATTTCTTGGATTAATACTGCAGTTCATAGCTGAATGCTTATGTACGCAAGTTTTCTTTTTCATGCATTTGAACAAGGGAAAATTTACTAAACCTTTTGTTTTGTCTGTACCATACTCATTTATGTAAATGTGTGGTATTTTATTCAACCTTCTTTGTTAATGCTTTACAGATTTGTACATACTTAACTTTTACTTCTTTGTCAAGGCTCTCCTGCCAAGAAAGACAACATGCTGACTACCGACCTGTTGTATTATACCCCTGTGGGTGACACAGATGTGTCGTGGACGTCCACCCCACAGATAACTGGGCTGGAGCCTGAAGTGCTGAATGGACATGTGGAGGTAATCCATTAACTTTGTTCTTAAGAGTTGTGTGAACAAGTTTTTATTGTTCTTCTTCATTCATGTCAATTTTCCAATTCATTGCTTAGACTATTTTCATTTTCCCTGCTATAGGTTCCAAGTTGGAGACAGAAGATCTATACCAGTTGCTATACAATGGAGGGCACAGAGAACCTAGACGATGAAGTTTTCAATAAACGTCATCAACGTCTCGAAATTGATGAGCGGCGAAGAAAAAGGCAAGTCTAATCTTCCGTTATAAAGATATCTTGAAAATGCACGTAAAGATGTGTGATGGACTAAAATGTATGTTTGTTTCTTGTACAAAACTTTCTAAAAAATAAAAGTGCATTAAATATTTGGGCATTTTTGTAAAAAAAAGTATTTTGTGCTGTAAAGTGAGGATTTGTGACCTCTCTGACTCAATATTTCTCTGCACAGGTGGGACGTGCAGCGAATTCGGGAGCAGCGACAAATTGAGAAACTGAAACAGCGGGAGCTTGCTTCGACTCGCAAAACCTCTCGCCACCATGACGAGGAGCCTCTCACCTCTCTGTGGCCCCAAGTGGATGACGCAGAGTTCTTAGAGGTGTCAGATAGTGTGCCAGTTGCTGCCTTTGGCTTGCCCATCACAAAATTTTCTGCCAGGTAGAAAAAAATTATGGTTGTCCTTGAAGTTGCCGAGGCCTACTTTTTTGTACAAGACCGTTGTTTCGGAATTCACATCAACTGATCATGCAGCCTTGCTTATATGTATTTAAATGTAAATGTGTAATGTAATATTGATTTTTAATGGCAGACTGGGCAATGCTGTATCATGTCCTGGTTAGTTGCCTAACTAGAGCATGTGGCAGTTTTGCCTGGATAGCTAAGTACAAACATGACTTTGTCTATGCAAGCCGGCATCACTTGAGTAGTATTGCTTTCGTGAAGATGTTTCTTTGAATGATTTGTATTTAAACATTAATATTTAAGGAAAAATTAACTTTTAAATATTTGTTGATTTGTTTCTAATGTTAATGTTATGTGTTAATTTAATAATGTTATGTGTTAAACTAATGTTAAATGTTTATTTACAGTGAATTTTCGTTACCTTGGCTGACATCAGCGCGCTGCAAAACCACTCCTCATACATCAACTCGTAGGAGGTACGAGAATAGGAGGTAGGCAGCATTGGTTCAAGTGTCTCGGGAGATTGGGAATAAAGGTTTTGATCTTGTGATCAGGAAAGGGGAATTTTAAATGTAATTTGAGTTTGAGAATATGCTGAAAAAACAAGGTGATGACTGATGCTGATGTGTGTGTGTGTGTGAAATACTCTCAAATAGTTGACTGTGATATAGAATATGAAATATTGTATTTGTACTGAATCCATTTCCAAATACACAAACCTTATTGTAACTGCACCCACTGGAAGTGGTTGCAGCCCACCTGTTGGAGCTTTTGGCAGCAAGGAAAGGACTATGTATGTAGAGAAGGCATTTCATTCTCTTTGGTTGGAGCCTGAGGTTACACATCTTTTCGAATCCCCCACCGAATACAGAGTATACTTGTGAGGATGATTCAACGTTTTTACGTATGAGAAACTACGTTACCTTAAAGATTTCTTTTCCTGCTTTCTCATGCTTTTTTCCCCCTTTTTTTTCATTTGGGAAGAATTCCTCATAACACATTGGCACTAATACAATACTGTGAATGAATTATCTTTGTATTGTTTTATATTTTGTTTTTCCTTGTAAATTTCCTAACTGCCAAATGCCCCTGGAATGAAAAATGTTTCAATCTATCTGAAGTAGATCTACTTGTTTGTTTGGGGAAGGTTTGATGACTGGGGAAGTAGGCTATGCATCAATCTGGATACTATTATTTTTTTTTCAAGTAGGTTATATTGTGAGCCCAGTTTGTCTACAAAGCTTTTCAGAAAGTTGTTTATTTTATGAGAATTGGCACCAGCAAAACAATAGTAGAAAATTGAGGACAGAAGTTGGCTCCACATGTCTGTGTTTTATTCACCAATCATACATTGTATTTGTTGTAAATATTTGAAGTTATTTGATTTGTTTTCCAATGGTACAATATTTCAAAATGAATTTAGTATTATACATTTTCTTTGTGGAAAATCATGGTTTGCATGTGTCAATTCAAATTCTATTTCTTAATTTTATCTTGAAAAAATGTTGCTTTACTGAATTCGTGTTTTCCATTCAGATATGATTATCATGTATTTTTGAGGTTTTCTTTTATCTATACTCATAGCCAACATTCATTACTCTATAATAATGTTTTGTCTGCACAAATTCATTGTCTTGATTTGTGTTGCCAATTTTACAGAGTAATAGTTGCCTTCCAATCCATTGTATCAAACCATTGAAAAACCATTGTACTTAGAATAAAATTTAATCAGCTTAAGTTATGCTCAATTTAGTTGTCAAAGAGATATCATTCAAAGCTTCGTGATACCTGTGCCGTATTTGATTGACTGTGCAGCTGGCATTAATTGAAGGCTCCGTATGAATACATGCTTATAATCCTGTGGTGAACGTATTTAATGTAATGAAAAATTGTAGTATTATGTACCCAAGTTCATGTAAAATTGATTTGCGGAAATGCAAGCAATGTATTTTTGTTGATAAATTATTTTGATAGAATCAGTATCCCAGATCCATGTTAACATTTGTGGAAGGAAATTGTTTCCTCCATTACACTTATTACTTGCTTTCTAAATAACAGAGACAGTTGGTGCACAGAAAATATATTTTATTCAAGGAATTGGTATCACCTCAATTAATGGTGGGTAAATATTACATCACGTTTTATTTGTAAATTTTATATTTCTTTAAAAGAATTCTCTCACTAATGTGTTAGTGTAATTGATATATTTTTTGGGTATCTTGTAGATTTTGTTTACAGAAATTTATAGAATAATATAAATTGCCTCATATTTTCAAGAATTTCTGTGTGTGTGTGTTTGTTTCTGATAGTGTATATTTTTTTAATGCCTGTGTTTTATTTTGGGCTAAAGTGTGCTGGTTTTCAGTACCTTAATGAGGGAGATAGGGCCAAGGAAATGATTGGACTAAACCGGGTTAAACTTGGTTAAATTCCACTTAATAATGTTGTGGCCTACATTATGAAATGATTAATCACTTTTGAAAGATGTACAAAGCTTGCTAATGATGAAATGAGCTTTCCTTCAGTGTTTCAGAGACAGACTTTCAAATACGGTTCCTTTGAAATTTATTTTTTTTTATAAGAGATTGTTAATTCTTTTGTAAGTAGTTTGTGAAACTAAGTGATATCAATTCCTCAGTGAAATACTGGAATAACTGTTTTAAGTTTCCTTGCAAACGATTGTTAGTTGGAATGTGCTTAAAAGTGTATGTACAGAAGATATTTGCTTTTACACAGGGTAGAGAAATTTAGTCTAGAGATAAATGGTGTGTTTCCTCCCATGAATTATTGGTTTGATATGTTGTTTCTGTATTGATGTGTTCCCTGTACCTGATGCTTAACATTCATACACAGACATTCTGGTCAGTCTGCTGCTATTCTTTTTTATAGTCTGCATTAAAGACTTATGAACCCGTGTCATTTACAATTTCTTTTGCCATCAAGAGAATTGTGACGCAAGTATGATTCTTGAGATTTTCAAACCTATGTGCAACATTTGAATATAATGTTATCGATTAATCTCTGTTGAGAAAATGTAAATAATAATTTTTGACAGACTGCAGACTTACTTTGAGAAAATATAGCATAGAAAGCACTTGTTTAGAACATTGACAGTTGAAAATGAGCATCTTTTTTTTTGGCAAAAATGTGTTAAACCTTCTCTTGAGTGGAAAATTAAGTCGCTGTACATTTGCAGAGGTGCTAATATTGATAATAATGTCTGATAAAATGTTTGATTGTGACTTTAAATGGTAAGGGAAATTCAGTCCATTTTTCCTAATCTGCAAGGAATTGCGGAAAAGTTTGCTAAGTCAGGTTCATTGTTGGCTTAATTCTTAATGTCATAATACATATGTGTATATATTTAGCAGGGAAGAACTGGTGCTGAAAAATACACAAATCAAACATTTTGTGTCACTGTAGAAAGTTAACCAAGAAAGAAGAGAAAAGAAGATAAGTTTTGTTGTGATTATTTTAATTGTATGCTACACATATTGCAATATACTATGATGAAGGGGGAAGGTAAGAGGTACATGAAAAATGTATAATTTAAATTCTATTCACAGTTGGTGATAGAAGTGTTTGTAAGTGTTTCTTGCCAGAGATTTTCTTATCCATGTTTCTTCAGAAATAATTCAAGTCTTACTAAATCATATGAAAACAAGTAAGGTCAATCAAAATGCGATTCATAGAAAATAGGTAAAATATTGAAATTGAAAACAACTACAAATCATTAGTTTTGTGTAGGTTAACTTAGAAATACAAATATATTGTCAACTTGACTGCTGTTATTCTTTGCCATGAGTCTTTTTTTTGATCAATTCCAGTTGTGCTTGCCTCCCTGTTGAAACCTCTCTTGATGCCTTTTTGGAAAATGTTCAATGCCTTATACTAAATGCATATCTCGGATGTAGAATACAATTATGAATTGTTATAAAAAAATCTTTAATAGAAATTTAAAAATTCGTAGCTTCATAATTAGAGTAGAGGGGATGGATGTATATCTCTTGTCCGATTAAAATAAGTATCAGATTCACATTTTTATAATATCAAGGCATTTCCATATAATCTCTCCACAGAAAAGCAGGGATCTCCATACTACGCTAAGTGGCTCTTCTCCGAAACTTGCTGGAGTATTATCCAGCTTGCATTGCTTTTAGATCAGGTTTTCCTAAAATGGAAAAATTCAAGGGGAAGCCATGTTGATGAAGCTAATTGAAGAGAAATAGATAGCTGAGGCATGCCATGAGTCTTGAAGATGAAGCACATGATGATGGCTAATAAGACAGTAGGAAATGAGACAAAGCCACTTAATGATTATTAGCTTCCATTAATCAAAGATTTTATGGTGAAATGTACATAGAGAAAACTCCTGTTTGTGTAAACTCGCTTTACACAAAATTCAGAATCCAAGAAGGAAACAGTAATGTGGATATGTGCAATGATCAGATTTACACAAATGGATTAATCTGTTCCCTTAAAATTTGTGTTTCAGCAAAGAGGATTTACTGTATTTTAATGCCTTTAATTTATGATCCTGTGTGCTACAGCCTTCTGCAGTTGGCTTGATTGGTAGAATGGCCTTCTTGTTTGAAAATTTGGAGACATTAGGGTGACAACCTAGTCTTCTCCTCTCCCCTGAGATTTTAACATAGGAATGGTTACTAAATCAATTATTGATAAAAAAAAAGTAGAAAAATAAACATCAAAAATTGAAATGCAGCTAGAGCTAACTTATTTGAATGTCGACTATCAGGTTTAAGTTACTGTCACAATAAAAACTAGAACTTAGCTCAATTATTCAATTTAGATTTACTTTAAATAAAATATTAAAATTATGCTATATTTTCATTGCTATTCAGCATCAAATTGAACTTTATAAATCCTTCCATTGTGAAATACTATAAGTGCATTAAGAATAATTATGTGATCCTTGAGATAATAACAGATAACCATGAGCCCAATAATTCTGTTAAGTCCAGGGGGAGTGGTCACCCTACCCCTGACTTAAATCACTCTGCTTCAGAACTATCAACTAGTGTGTTGTAATTTGTTGGTTTATTTTTTTTTTTTAACGAGTTTCAATCTACTAATTTGTATATAGTTTGAGTAATCATCAGTGGTTGTATTTTTATCTTCCCTATAAGCCACATCTGTTCAAATGTTTTGAAGCACATACAATTTTCATTTATAAGTTGTAAAGGAAGACTCTTAAGTGAAGCTTTACTTGTAATTATTTGTCATAAAATGATTAATGGGGTTAAGGCTCGTATTAGATTGCTGTAATTATTGTCTGTTTAATTTAAGTGACATAAAATAATTGGATATTAAAGCTTCAGTCTATGGTTGTGATACCATGAGTTGCGCCTGCCTAATGGAAATTATGGGAGAATTTCAAAACAATGAAATGTGATAGTAGATGAAGGCTCAAATTTTCTTCTTTTCTGGTGTTTACAAAGCAACTTACGTGATGTATGTCAAAGATAAAATTAAATATTAATCTCATTACCTCATTTTGCTGTCTCACAGACTTGCTCAATTCAAGTACATTTTATTTGTCTACATTTTCTAATAATTTAGATTGTTAAATGTGCTACCCTAGTTTTTCTTTACTTCATTACCTTAAAACCATTTTGAAATTATTTCTCATTAGAATTATTGGCCGAAAAACAGTTTTCTTGTTGTTTTTTTAACCATAAATCTTAACATTATAAACCTGAATACCTAATGTGTTGTTGTTTTAAAATTTATTTATTTTGTGATTTGGCAAATTTTACGTCCAGAAATATTTATCTTCACTTCATCAACATCAAGTAAGCATAAAAGAAATCCTTGAGACTGAAACATTTCCTCCTTCCCTTTTCATGTTAAAGGCATGAGCTAACATTCCCAAAGAAACAGAATTGTTAAAAAAGGTGTGTCTGTTGTGGTCTTAAAAGAGATTTTAAAATTTCTGTAAGCTGACTATTGTGGTTGACTTATTATATGAGGCACATCCAGAAAGTAAGTTTCCGTAAGTCATCAATTCAAGGAAAACAATTTTGTGTAAAAATGTTGTCTGCTAAGACATAACATGTTGCACTCCTTTTCTCACATAATCACTACCAGAATTGAGTTATTGTACTGAGTCGTAGATCTCTGCCACATGGTATGGTGCTAGTGTTTTCTTCAGATGTATGAAAAGAAGGAAATCACTAGGGGCGAAATATGGACTATCAGGTGGTCAAACACCTCCCAGTGAATGTGCTGCAGAAGATCTGTCTGCTGTGTGCCAGGCGATGTGTAGTTGGCCATTTGACCATCCGTCCTATAGTTCATATCCTGGCCGTAGTAATTTCCATTTTTTCTTACACCTCAAGAAATTTCTGTTCAGTTAATATTATGCGTGACATGGTTGTAGGTAGGCTGTCAAAAACTGGTATCTATCTTTGGTTGCAGACTTTTACAATACAGATATAAATGTGGTTACCATGGCATGGCATGGCAAACGTGTCATTTCTGGTGGTGATTGTGTGGCAAAATGGTACAACATATATCTGCTACAATAAAGTTTTATCATGAAATTGTGATTTCTTTTCATTGATGACATTGGGAAACTAACGTTCTGGATGTCTCATAATTTGGAATGCAGCATTATATATATATATATATATATA